GCGCGCTGATCCACACAGGTATGCACACGGGTGTTCACTGCTCGTAGACCCAAATTACACCTTTCTTGGCTGCTACTTCGAAGCACATCTGTCCTGCGTGCTGCACAACAACATTGAATATTTAGTATTGGTGTTGTGTTTAGTATGTTGCTTTGTTTCTTTTTTTTTTTGTCTTTTTTTGCTTGTTTTCTATTCTTCTCTCAACAGGTGATCCAGGAGATTTTTTTTTCTCCCCCCCTTTCTCACTGTCCCTCTCCCCTTCTGTTTTTCCTTTCCTTCCTCTTTCTTTCTCCCTTTCCTATCTCTCACTCATGTCTGTCCCGTCTGTAACATCTGAAAATAAAATATAATAAATAATAAAAACAAAGATCGACCAAATGGACCAATACGGCAGTGCCACGATGATCCATTTGGCAAAGTAAATCCATTGGGTATCCTTGTTGGTCTTCAGACAACAATTCTGGTGGCTAAAGAACCAAATGGGGAAAAAAAAAAAAAAAAAAAAGACAGAAGTGAGGCTGCCATATCGCACCATCGGCCCCTCTGGCCAACACCAGTAGGGTAAAGTGTCTTGCCCAAGGACACAACGACCAGGACAGAGAGCCCGGGGATTGAACCGGCGACCTTCTGGTTACAGATACGGTTCCCAACCCCCTGAGCCATGGTCGCCCCTGTAAGCATAGGCCCCGCTAGCTGTTCCCCAGCAGACCCCAAGCACCTGGGGAAAGAGGGCGGCTGGGTGACGGTGAGGAGGAAGCATAGTCTTAAACAGAAGCAAACTAGGGCTTCTGTTTAAGCACTAGTTTGGTGGTGTACCTACATGAACAGGTACACCACCAACCTCTTCATGTGTCTAACCATTTTTCCCCCACTCGGCGACACACCCGCCGGGGGTCAAACTGTGGTAATTGGTGATTCTGTTCTCAGACATGTGAAGCTAGAGACACCGGCAACCATAGTCAATTGTCTTCCAGGGGCCAGAGCAGGCAACACTGAGGGAAATTTAAAACTGCTGGCTAAGGGTAAACGGAAATTCAGTAAACTCATAACTCACATCGGCAGTAATGGCACCTAGTTACACCAATCGGAGGTAACTAAAATCAATATTGAATCTGTGTGTAACTTTGCCAAAACGATGTCGGACTCTGTAACACATTTCATTGCAATGTTGACCCTGTGCTAACTTGCATATGACAAATAAAACTGAAAACTAGTTTTTTCTGGTCCCCTCCCCAATCAGACCAGGAGTGACATGTTTAGCCGCATGTTCTCCTTAAATTGCTGGCTGTCTGAGTGGTGTCCAAAAAATGATGTGGGCTTCATAGATAATTGGCAAACCTTCTGGAGGAAACCTGGTCTTGTTAGGAGAGACGGCATCCATCCCACTTTGGATGGAGCAGCTCTCATTTCTAGAAATATGGACAACTTTATTAAACCCCCCAAAATATGACTATCCAGAGTTGGGACCAGGAAGCAGAGTTGCAGTCTTACATGCCTCTCTGCAGCTTCTCTCCTCCTCTTATCCCCCCAAAACCCATCTCCATAGAGACTGTGTCAGCTCCCAAACATAAAAAATCACAAAGAAAGAACAATACAGTATCCACATCTGAACCAAAGAGTAAACAGTGAAATGTGGATTATTAAATAGTAGGTCTCTCTCCTCCAGGTCTCTGTTAATACATGATTTAATAATTGATCAACAAATTGATTTACTTTGCCTTACAGAAACCTGGTTGCCTATTAATCAACGAAAAACCAAGACAGACTCTTAATTCATTTCAAAGCCTGATGCTGATGCTTGTTCACCCCAGCTGCAAAACTCAGAAACCAGCATAAAAGCATATAGTTAGGGCTGGACCAGGTGACCCTGAATCCTCCCTTAGTTATGCTGCAATAGACGTAGGCTGCTGGGGGATTCCCGTGATGCATTGATTTTTTCCTTTCCAGTCACCTTTCTCACTCACTATGTGTTAGTAGACCTCTCTGCATTGAATCGTACCTGTTCATACCTGTTCGTACTCTTCATGTTAAAAGGGAGTTTTCCCTTCCTGCTGTCGCCAAAGTGCTTGCTCATAGGGGGTCATATGATTGTTGGGTTTTTCTCTGTATCTATTACTGTACGATCTACTGTGCAATATAAAGCACCTTGAGGCAACTATTGTTGTGATTTGGCACTATATAAAGAACATTTAATTGAAATTGAATTGGCGTATTGAGTCTGTGTTTGGGTCCTGCCTCCATGCAAACTCCGTCTGAACCAAAGTTTTCAGTTGCCTGATCCCACTTATTGAATCAGTCACTCTTTTGGCAAAACCATAAGCACTTTTCACCTGTGTAAACACATCTTGCAACACATTGTCATTGTGATGCACCTGTGTTGCATAATGGTGAGCACAGGTGGCAAAAGTCAAACACAATTAAAGCTCAGGTGTAACCAGTTGAACACAACAACTCAAAATTTATCACACTTGTGGCTAATGATGTGAGGGTACATATCAGCCAGAGCACTGGTTTGTGAGGCACTACAATGGATAGAAATCCAAGAAGAGGAGTTTGTGTGAGAGAAAGTTGAGCAGGTCAAGGTGGTGGAGGGGGTCATCGAGGACAAAGAACAGTAGTATCAGATGAAATCAGAGCTACTGTGATTGACCATGTTCTTGTCCATGGTATGACAATGAAAAAGGCCGGACAAAGGGTACAACCAAACATCAGTAGATTCACCGTGTCTCTCTAAGAGAAGAGAACAGGTAGTTACCTGTCAATGCAATGCAATGTCACATTGCACATGTGTGCTGCCATCAGCAATCATGGTGTTGTCCACCATCATGCTAACCTAGGGCCCTACAACACTCACCAGCTCCTCATCTTCCTCAATCACATGCGAGATGCTCTGATAGGGCAGCAGGATGAGCAGCCCATCTATGTTGTTGTTTGGGACAATGTTTGGGCCTCCAGGTTAGGGAGTGGTTCAATATGAACCAAGGTTTTATCAATCTTTGCCTTCCACTGTGCTCCCCTTTCCTGAACCCCATTGAAGAATTCTTCTCCTCATGGCGGTGGAAGGTATATGAACGCCAACCTTACACCAGGGTAAATCTCCTGCAAACCATGGAACTGGCCTGTGGTGACATGGGCGTGGAGGCATGTCAAGCCTGGATATGGCATGCCAGGGGTTTTTTTCCCCCCGTTGCCAGGCCAGAGAAAATGTGGCCTGTGATATAGATGAAGTCCTGCGGCCTGACCCAGTATGGAGAAATGATGCTGTGGCGGAGTAATGCACTTTTTTCCTTTGTACTTCATTTTTATATTTGTGTGCTTTATTTCTACGTACTCAGTAGAGTATATAATTTAGATTGACTTGAAGCATGATTTGACAGCATAGTTCAATTTTGAGCACAGATTGAATTGTTTTGGGGTGAAAGTTTGGTTTTGCAAAAAGAGTCAGAGGTTTTGTGAATGTAGGTTGAAAACTGGGTTTTGTGTTCACAGTTTGGGGAAAAGGAGAGCAGCTTTTCAGGAATGTGTCTTAGCAATCATGAAAAACTGTAAGTCTGTGCTCTCCAGTCCTTTCCTGGATGCCTGAGCGTGAGTGTTGGACTGAGCAGTGTAGTGTGTTTGTGAGGAGTGTGTCGGAGTACAAGAGCGGAGCAAGTGTACAAAGGAGTGGAGTGTGAGGAGCGAGGATAGTGGAGCAAATGAGGAGTGTGCATTACTCCCCACCTGCCGTGGATCCCTGGAGCCCCTAAATAATGTTCTTAAGTACTGATATGACATTTCGTATGCATTTCAGAGTTATATGAGTCAGTCAAGTACTTATGTTTTTAGACTTTGTTTTTCAGAGTATCCAGAGCCATACAAATAGAAGATCTAACACTATTCTTTTCAGTTTTAGGTAACTACTCTTTAACAAATTGTGCAATCTAATGATTGTTTCATATAGTTGCATACGATTGGATACGGAAGCATCTTTATGACACAATCACACATTAAATGCTTGAGGGTCCTGCGCAGTATCTTTGCTGTTCCTACAACTGTGATCTTCTGGATAGAAATCTCGTATGTTGTTCCTGGAATTTGCTGGAGTCAATCACCTAGCTTTGGGGTCACTGCCCCGAGTGTTCCCATTACCACTGGGACCACTGTTGCCTTCACCCTCCACATTTTCTCAAGTGCTTCTCTCAGCCTTTGACAAGAATCAGGACCCAGACACACGCCATTGCACCTTGCTATGTGTTTTATTGATACAGGCTTTTACACACTCTGTATGAGCAGCTTTCCAGTCATTCCACTCTTTCCACTGGTCCAAGAAAAATCCTTAAAAAGGGAGACATGATTTGATAATGGAGGTCAGGTTCCATATTTGTTCTGTAAAGTGTCCTTGAGTGTTTTGAAAGGCGCTTTTAAATAAAATGTATTATTGTAACCACTGAATTGGCACACAGGCACAGTAGCCCTCAGTACATTTTTTTGACAGCCATGTTAACATGACACAAAGTTACTTTCCTTTATGAAGTTGGCTCGCCATCTTCTCTATCTGTACTAGCCATTAAGAGGGTGTAGTGTTAGAGAGATGTAGTGGGACACATTTAACAAAGACCAAGCTTTCTTTCATTTTGAGCTTTTGTTTTGTTATTTGATCCAAATGGTTTGACAAAATCCACTGAAAACAATCAAAATAGAGATTATTGTAAGTGTGTGAGAATTAACTTCCAATCAACCGTTATCCTGTCATTTAGGGGATGACATTATCTTTTTGCAATATCTGATGCAATATAGACATTTTACATTCTTATGTCTAATTTGATTGGAGGAAGGAGCTGTCCAATCAAAACTTACTGTTCTTATAAGCCTTAAAACGAGAGGTTCAAATACTTCCCAGTAAAAGCAAAGTTGTTTGACTGAGCTCAGAGGATTTTGTGAAGTCTGATAAAGATTTACTACGTATTTTATCAATATTTGCTTTGCCTTTTTTCTTCTCCTCTTCAACTTCCAAACAGAATATGTCTTCACAGAATACTTCAATCAATGTAACACACTTTATTATAGGTGGTTTTGACACACTCAGTAGACCTATTGCTGTTGGCGTGGTTATCCTAATAACCTATCTTCTTGCTGTTCTTGCCAATATGGCAAATATCATGTTTATTATTGCTGACAAGAGATTACATAAACCAATGTATCTTCTGATTTGCAACCTTGCTGTTGTTGATATAATGTACACCTCCAGTTGCAGTCCAACAATGATTGGGGTTCTACTCGCAGGTGTTAATACTATATCCTATATGGCATGTTTAATTCAAATGTGTGTTTTCCATTTGGGAACAGCGATGGAGTCATTTGTTTTAGCAGTTATGGCATTGGATAGATTCATTGCAATAATTTATCCTTTCCAGTATCACAGTTATTTAACAAACACACGTGTTCTTGTTCTTACATTTATCGTGTGGTTTGTTAACTGTTTTTTTATGTGTTACATGCCTGCAACAGCTGTCCCCCTCCCACACTGCAGCTCCAGGCTTAGGTACACTTTCTGTGACTTTGCTGCTGTAATAAGAACGACCTGTGTTAACCCAGAAAAACATTTCAATGACGCTGCCATTATAGCATTTTTTATTTTATTTTTCACTTTTGTTTTCATTTGTCTTTCATATTGTGGAATCTTACTTTTTGTAAAATTATCTTCAAATAATGAAAAAAAGAAAATGGGGAGCACTCTTGTGAGTCACTTAATTTGTGCAATCGTTCATTACTGTCCTGCGTTTGTGCGCATTATCTTCACCAGGTTTGGTGTGGTATTGACTCTTGAGGAACGCCAAGGTTTATTAATTGGTGCAGTCCTCGGTCCATGTCTTGTAAATCCTTTTGTGTACTTTCTTAGAACAAAAGAAATTAAACAAAAGCTCTTTAAGATTTTCAAAAAGTTTTACACATATTACTGAGATCTTGTGAACTGAGTGTGCTTTTTATTTTTTTTTAGATAAACACAGAAATACCCCTAACTGATGTCGGTGTAAATTTTCAGAACATTATTTTACAAAATGGTTGAAACACCAACCATGCACTTTGATTCTGGCACAAAAGTGAGAATTATTTTACTTTTAGAATACACAAGATATTTGCACCTTAACTATTCAATTAAAATCATACAAAATTTAGAACAAAAGTTTTTAGTGTAACTGTTTTTGTGTCTGTGAGCAACAGTATGCCTTTTTCCTGCTATGCTGTAAACAATCATATTTTAATCAACAAAAACTAATCAACTTTATTTGAACTTTATCCCTCAATAATACTTTTGCTCGTTTCCAGACCTTCAGTTGTGTCTGATCAGGTGTTTGGAAACTAAGGGCGATCATGGCTCAAGAGTTGGGAGTTCGCCTTGTAATCGGAAGGTTGCCGGCTCGAGCCCCGATTTGGACAGTCTCGGTCGTTGTGTCCTTGGGCAAGACACTTTACCCGTTGCCTACTGGTGGTGGTCAGAGGGCCCAGGGGCGCCAGTGTCCGGCAGCCTCGCCTCTGTCAGTGCGCCCCAGGGTGGCTGTGGCTACAATGTAGCTTGCCATCACCAATATATGTGTGAATGGGTGGATGACTGGATGTGTAAAGCGCTTTGGGGTCCTTACGGACTAGTAAAGCGCTATACAAATACAGGCCATTTAAGGATAGTATTTAATACCTGAAAGCAATCAGTTTTTATTACATTTCAAAAATGATCAAAATGAATGAATGGCTCCAACACCAGCCTAACATAGTTTAGATAGCTAAGAGAGTGGACTGCTGTATTTTCACAGACATTTCAGTTTGGTTTGTTAAGTGATCCTATATCAAAAAGGCATAAAACAAACGAACAAAAAAAGTTGCTCTGTGTGGGGGACATTTGGAAGGAATGACACGAGTAACTTGGCTCTCAGTAAAAGAAGATGCTTTTTTGTATTGGTAACATCCTCCTCTCATTCCAAATAATTGAGCACTGCTAGCAGCAACTCTTACAGCTCCTCCCATAATTTCGCACTCTGAAAAGGAAATTTCTACACATAGATATACAATAAGATCAGACACAAAGACACCTTTGTGACAGATTCTTAAAGCCTTACACACAGCCTCTGTTATACACATAAAATCATACATTTTTAAAAGCCTGTTATCTACTTGTTTTCTAAATTGGAGAAATTGTGATATTTTTTTTAACAAATTTGTAAATTACTTAATATAATGTTTACAGAAATAGCCAGTGGTGTTTTTTTGATATGGGGACATGGGCCATTGCCCAGGGCAGCATCGTGGTGCGGGTGGCATCATGGGCATGGGCATCGGCAAAAAAAAAAAAAAAGTTGCTCGCACCCATGCTGCCCCGGCATCATGCCACCGCATTTTGGGGAATGCATAGGCACCGAACGATTTTCTATTACCCATTTGCGAGGAGTAAGAGTGCCCTCCATTTACGAGGTGCACCTGCTGCTTTCTACACAAGGAGGAGAGGGAGGATTCTCTGGCTAGCTGGAGCACCTAATAACTAGCTCGTAACATTAAAAAAAACCCAAAACAAACAAACAAACAAACAAACTAGGGCTATCAACGTTAACGCTGTCATTGTGATTAACGCTAGGACTCTGTTAACAAATTACCGCGGATCGCTCCATGCGTGGAGCTGCACGGCGTCAACGAGCTAACCGCGCTAACGCTAACGTTGATGCCATGCAGCCCCATAGCCCCATGCATGGGTCTGCACGGCCTAAAATCCTTTAATTTTCTCAAAAATCGACAGTGTGCCCTTATGTATGAATTCTGGTTGTGCTTACTGACCGCGAACCGATTTTATGTGGTACACGGCGCTCAGCAATCTGTTAAAAATGTTTTAGTACGACTTTGGTAAGCTACGAAGCTGCACCACTTGATGGATTATCGGCGCATTACGGCTACCATAGTCTGGAGCCTCACGGAGTAATATGTATTGTGCTTCAACATAATATTACCGTACTGTGTAATACGGTAATATTACGTTGAACAAATGGCACCTGTTAAGAGACATGGTTACGAAGCGAACTCCAGGCTGTCAGTCACGCAGTAGAACTTGGGAACAGAGCAGCTGCGAAATCTGTCTTTGTTATTATGCTCATCATCTTTTAGTTTACATGCTGACTGCACAATTGTGAGCTTTTTGTTATGCACAAAAACAACATTGTTTTCTTTTATTTATGGAGCATTATTATTAAATGCTGATAATTTATTTCTAAATTATGTACATCTTTACATCTGTGCTGTATGTTAATAAAAGTGCCCGTGTGAGATATGGGACACAGCTTTGACTAAGAACTCCCTTTTTGTTCTTACTTTATGGCTTAAAAAAATATCGAGATATATATCACATTTCGCCATCCAGCTAAAGAATGTCGAGATATGAATTTTGGGCCATATCGGCCAGCCCTAATTAATGCAATTAAAACATTTTTAATGCAATTAATCCATCTGGAGCACAGAATGACTCAAAATCCCTGAAATGTCTCTGTCAACACATTATGGGCAGTTTGTCCAAAGTTTGTCCATTCAGCGTTAATCGCGTTAATCATGATGACGGCATTAATGCGTTGACATTGACAGCCCTACAACAAACACAAAAACAGAAGACATTATGATATAGACTTAAGATTTGCACCAATGTGTTTTCTAAATTCTATCACACTCATATATGCAAAAAGAGAACGCGAGGGCCCTCGGTGAGCCTGCTTGTTGCTGCTGCTCACATACAACCTGTTGAAAGGTGAAGGGGCGTGCTACTTCCAAATAGTGCACATTTAATTCATAATGTTGTCAATCCAAGCCCATTATGTATTAATTATTTTACCTGGGTTATGTGAAATCCCAGAAAAAAACAGGGAGTGTTCGCCCAGAGCACCAAACAGGCTAGGACCACCCCTGGAAGTAACTGTTGTTGAGAAAGCATTGGGGATCTCTGCTTGGCCACAGGTAGCACTCACACTATATAAATTCCATGCCCAAATCTCAACTAACTGTGCCAAGGCCCAAATCTGTAAGAATACCAAGGCATGGTTTAATTATTAGTTTGCCAGGTGACGGAATGTCCAAACCCAGACACACACGTATATGGTGATGGTGAAGAGGGAGAACAGTCCATGCAGCTGGGGTGCTCGCGACTCACACCTGCAGAACACCAATGCCGCCTAACCTCTGGTGAGTGCCTTTACTGTGGCCATAAGGGCTGCTTCATCTCAACCTATCCATCTTGATCAAAAGGGCGCTCCCATCGATGGTGAAGAGAGTACTGGTGGGCAACCTGTCTAGCAAAAGCTCTCTTCCATACTTCCAGGTCAGCACTGGTTCCAACAGCACAACCCTCATATTGACTAGTACAGGGCTGGGGTCACATAAACTGCCTCCGGGCTGCCACCCCTCAACCTGTGCCATCAGAACCTCTCGATTTAACGTCTGTTCCACTGGTGTACCATGATCTTGCTGAAGTGTTTTGTAAAGATCAAGCACTGTCATTACCTATGATTGTGCCATAGATCTCCTCCATGGTGCTTCACTCCCCACTAGCTGCCTCTATAGTCTCTCTCAGCCTGAAAGAGAGGCTATGGAGAAATATATTACCGTCATGGCTGCGGTGGCAGGTGTGTGGTGTGTGTGAGAGAGGACCCAAACGCTGGCACTGGCTTGGATGTGAGCGAGCTTTATTTAAACGTTGGTGGCACAAACAGAAACACAGCAAGCAAAAACAGAATCTAAAGATAACCTAAACTGGGAATAACTAACAAAACTAACCTGTACTGGCGACTCTGAGAAGAAACACAGACGGACTAGTGGCAAACACGAGAGATAAATAAATACACAGATGGGAACGAGGAAACTACACGCAGGAGGGAGGCACAGCTGATTCTGATTGACAAGACAAGACAGGGGAAATGCAAAGTGAACAGGCTGGCATAAGACACAGACCTTCACAATAAAACAGGAAATGCAGAACACAAGGAAGCCACATAACAAACCCTAAAACTAGAACTCAAGAAACACTAAAAAACTAAGGAACTTGACACCATGGGAAGAAACCAAAAACCCAAAGTACAAAACTCAAAAAACACTGGGTCATCGACCCAGGACCATAACAATTACAGACTCTCGAATAGCTGGAATTATCCAGCCGTCCTCCTCTCCTGTAGGAGCCGAATCTTTCTTTGTTGAAAAGAAAAACAAATCCCTCCAACCCTGTATTAATTTTTGCGGTCTCAATAACATTATCGTTAAAACAAAATACCCATTACCAATTCTCACCTCTGCCTTCGAGTTGCTTCAGGGAGCTACCATTTTCAGTAAACTCAATCTGTGAAATGCCTATCATTTTGTACGGATAAGGGAAGGCAACGAATGGAAAACAGCATTTAACACTCATCTTGGGCATTTTTAGTATCTCGTATTGAGTTTCATGTAGACTCTGTGGCATTCCTGGGTTACATAATTGAGCAGGGAAATGTGAAACCAGACCCAGAGAATTGTCCAAGCAGTTGTCAACTGGCCCAAACTGCCAACTCCAGCTTTTTCTGGGGTTTGCCAATTTTTACCGTCGCTTTATTTGGGACTTTAGTAAACTCGCACTACCTCTCCCAACCCCTGCCACCCGGAACTGAATCAGCCTTTCGTGGTTTAAGTGGACGCATTGGATTCTGGGGTTGGAGCTGTATTATCCCAGCAAAATGATGGTAAGCTCCACCCATATGCTATATTCTATCATCGTCTTTCCCCAGCAAAGTGGAACTACGACATCGGTGACTGGGAGCTGCTGGCAATAAAACTGGCTCTAGAAGAATGGAAACACTGGCTGGAAGGCACCGTTCAACCATTCATTGTTTTTTCACAAAAACTGAAAAAGGTTTTCAATAACCTACAGACCTGGGACCTGCAATGTGAAACCTCTCTTGACAATACGCTC